AGTCACGTTCTGCAAGATAGCAAAACCATATATGTCCCACCTCAAAAGATATGTCAGGTCTGTGATTTGCTTTGAAAACCCACTCTAAAGTAGCTGCTGTAATGAAAACACTTTGCATCCAAGGATCTTACAGCAATTTATAAAGGCAATTAAGTAGTAGTTTCCCCAGATGGGGAAAACAAGCCTAGAGATTACAGCACCTCATTTTCAAAAGTGTTCTCTACTTTTGGGTTCATCCATTTTTGAGTGTTGAACTTGAGACATCCTGGGGTCTTATTTTCAGCAGTGCTGGGCACCTGCAATTCCAGTTGAAGTCATAGACTTGGTGTCTCAAGTTGGGCACCCAAAAATTGAGGCACTCCAAATAGTAGACTTTTTGGAAATGTTAGCCTAAATTTGCATGCCTTGTTTAAAGTCATGGCAAGCCAGTGACAGAGTCAGGAATAGAATCCAGAGAGCAGATCTTCAGCTGGAATAAATTGCCATTGATGGACCTATGATAAAATTACACTAACTAAGGATTTGCACCCCAGGCCTTCTGACTCCCAGGACCTTTGGTTTAACAACACTGGACTCCTTTATTTATAATACACTGGATAATACTAATGTAATTAGAAATAATAGTAGCCAAAGAATTATCTGACGGGCTTCTCTCTTTTATGTTTAAAGATCTTTATTACTACTTTGATAAGAAATTAAACCTAACTGTTGAAAAAACTGCATGGAGCATTGTACTAAGAGCCTAGATTATGCATGCAAATGGCAGAGTTCCAGATGCAAATATAAGCTGATTTTATTCCCCTCAATACAGATAAACTGTTCTCTTTAGTTGGCAACTGTTCACTAACTATAAAATGCTCTGGATAGAAATTAAGTTTCTTTGCTCAACACTTATCATTGATTCGCCAGCCTTGAAACCAGGAACTTGCTAACACTTTGAAACAATGAACTGAAAGGTCATCTAGTTTCATTGTAGCTCATACAAGTACCTCTGTATCCTTTGCTAAGATCTTGTCCTTTCAACAGGAAGAGTCCTAAGTGAGCCATAGTCATTGTCTTTGAATAAAATCCTTGCTCCATTGAAATTGATGGAAGTTTCAGCATCGAAATCAGTGGGGCCAGGATTTTACCCCACATATCCACTACAGCAGCAGTACCCTAAGGGAAGAAACCTACTTGTAACACAAAGAACTATGCTACTTTAGGATACTATCTTCTTCACTATATTAATGCCATTAGGCCCTGCCCTAAAAGTACAGCTATAAAATGATCAAATCTATACACTTACCTGTGCAATATCACTAACTTTGACATAGATCAAAGGCCTCACTGACAAACACATTCAGGATCTGACCAACAAGGTAGATTTTCACTACCAAGTCAGTCTTTCATTCAGTTTGCTCTCACCATATAGTATGTTTGATTCAAATACTATACACCTTGGAACAGTTTCCTAAAATGGTGCTGCATACAGCGACACAGAGCATTTCCATGGTATAGACACATCACTCATTGCAATCTCTCTTTGAAAATCCCACATGAATTTCACACCATCAATTGCTGATTTGAGACTTTGAACTATTAATTAGCCAGTGCTCTCCAACATGACTATGTCTAAAATTAAGCATGAAGCTTTCAACTATAATTATGTTACCTAGTGCATTGCATTAACATCATAAATTGCTCCAAGGTGCTAATGCTACAAAAGCTACTATCATTATAGTAACTGCAATAAGGAAGAGGAAGGGACTGTCACTTTCACTTCTCCATCTCACTACTTGAGACCTTTCTCTCTCCCTCGCTTTTTCCACATTATATTTTCGATCTACCCCAAAATCTGTATCAATTCCATACTCTCTTTTCTAACTGAACCCCAGTTGTAACTAGCGGCATTAGTTAAACTAATGCACATCCACTCAGTCAGCTTGGACATTTTAAATGGCAATCTAATTGCCAGGGGACTATACTTACAGTCAAAGACCAGTTCAAGAGATGAGGGCTCTATCTCCTAGGTAATGCCCAGGTGAGATGCCAACCCCCATTCAGCTGCTGAAAAAGGGACACTTCTGACTATGGCATTGCCCTAGACCCTGTTTGCAGATCTGGCTCTCCTACTGACTTCATCAAGTAAATGTCTGATAAATTTAAAACCCTCCCAACTGCTTGTGGCTGCTGGAAAGAAGGAGGAGCACCTTCTCTCTGTTCCATTCCTGTCCTAATGCCTTCTGGCTGCTGCATGGGTGTGTGGGTCACTGACATTTTAACTTCTCCCTAGTCTTGGGGCTGCTGTGATGGGGATGTCTCCACTACTCTACTCCTTTCTTAGCTTTCAGGCTGTTGCAAGGGCAGTTGCTTAGCTATTCTACTACTACACCAATTTCTATTTTGGAGTCCTCCTCTCCAGTGAATTGGTCTAGTGCCTGCGTCTGTTATAGCTCATAGCTTTCCCTAGCAGCAGAAAGCAACTGACAAAACTCCAGTAAGTATTCACTCTGTTCCACTTGTTAAAGGTATGAGCAACAACAGAAGCACTGGAGTCTGTAGACTCAGGAGGACAGCAGTGAATCAGTTTATGCTCAGTTCATATTTAGAATGTTTACTTTGCAACAATAGGGGCTAGAAACGTACTGTTTAAAATAAAATCTTAAGTTCTGCAGAAAATTGAAGGTCTTCATTCAGGAAAGTCCCCCCCCCCCACCTCCACAGGTAAGTACATTTTCAAGACCCAATGCAAGGACTTATTTTAAAGTATTTGCAAACCTGTTTGTAATATTCAGAGCTACAGCAGGAAGAGAGTTATGCTGGGTAACTATTGTGGCTAATGCAAACACCAGCTACTTAGTTACCAAATATCTCTTTCCAGCCATGTGGATTTATAATATGGACATTTTGTTTTAGATTAGTTTTCCTAGGAAAAAATAGGAGGGCTCTATTTACCATGGAGGAACATAGGATGTACAGCCAGAACAAACCTGTCCACAACTTGATATCACCCCAAATGATTCGATCTGAGAAAATCATAACTTTCCCCCTATTAAACTTCACCATGCTGTACGGTAGGTTTGGCCACCTTCTACTCCCTTCTCTAAGACATCTAATAACCTTTTGCTTTCAGTAAATGCAGAACTGAAACCTGCCAGAAAGAAAGAGAAAGAAGCTGTTCATAAAGTACCAACTGTGTACTCCCTACACAAACTGGCAAAATTGACTCTGCTTTCATTCATACACTAAAGTCATTAACAGAGAAATAGTGAATGGAGCCAGGTGCTACTAAACTGATTTGCCATTTGAATGAGGATTTCTTTGGGGAAAGGAAATAAGGAGGTATTTTTTAAACATCACCTTTAGAATTAAAGTATTTCATATGGAAAAGTCCTGTAGCATAGCAAATAATAGCCTTTTTCTTAAACTTTAAAAAGCTTTAGACTATTGGTTTTATCCCTATTAAGTTCTACAGAACTTTTCATAAGGAATTTGTCATGATATTCCTAGATGCTTATGGTGAATGATAAAAAAAAACAACGTTCTTTGTTGTTATTTGCTTTCAACATTCAGTATAGAGGGTTCTACTGTTAATTACCAGATTCCTATATTTACAGAAATTTGCCAGCTATGAACATGTACATAATATTATAGTATTTACTAAGTGGCAATTGTCTATGGTAATTATCACCTGTCACCTAAAATAAATATTATTCTAGCAGTGTAAGTAACAATAATAAAAAGTGACGAAGTGTCCTGTGGCACCTTATAGACTAACAGACGTATTGGAGCATAAACCCACTTCCGGACTAAAAAGAAAATTACAGAACAAATGACATACTCTGTTAACCCACCTCTCTCTAGAAGTAGTACAGAAATAGTGGTTAAAGTAATTAAATTCAGAGCATGTACAGTGTAGCTATAGAATTTTGATCTACTGTAGCTGTTGAATAATTGAACCTCAGGGGAGGGAGGAGAGGACACCAATGTAAGAAGAATGGTAGAAAAATATTTAACTCACTGCATACTTCATAAACAATTGTCTTATTTTAATAATTAAAAATTAACATTTCAAGAATCAAAACGTGGCATCCAGGATTACTCCTTGGCACAATCTAAGTAGCAATTTTTAAAGCACAACTTTGTTCCAACCACACACTGCAAATTTCTATCTATTTAAAAAAAAAAATCTAGCTCTCCAGAGTTAAACCAAGTTTGGCATGGTGAGAAGTGAAACTCATGCACAGAGTTTTATAAAGTTTCAATAGTTGAACCTAGTCCCAGTTACTTATATTGTCCAATATGATACAGACCAATATAAAACAGTAAGTTCATCAACCAAACTGAAAAGGCATTTTTCTAGACATGGAACACTTAAAATCTGTGTTAAATAATTGCAAATTGCAAAGCAACTCTTAAAATGGTGCTCAGTATTATGTTCTTGGGGATAATATATTCACAAAATGCCAACTGCTAAAGATGAAAAGAGACATATTATTGCTAACTATATTCCAAAATTGTGATAATGGTCATCCAAGAAACAGTTTCTCTCAGCATGAAAATTTTCCAGGGATAGAAAAAAGAAAAGGTAATCCACAAAATTTCTTAAGGCAAAAATCAAACAGGATAGTGAAGCCGGATATTATAATAACAACATCAACAACTGATAACACTGTTCAACTTACCAGATAAAATTTACAGCAGGTACTGTACAAAGTGCAATGTATCTGTAAGGGTTTACCACTTGGGCACAACCCTGACAAAAATCTCACTCATCTCTGATGATTCAACAAGAAAATGGTTACTTTACAAGAAAAATCGAACTAAAATTTTATTCCACATTTTTCAAGCAATCCCACAAATTTCCCTTCTTAGTTTTGCAGCACACATTATTTTAAAATAAACAGCGCAACAGAATAGCTGCTTTGAGTACAATGCACAGCGATTCAGCTCTCTCATCTTCTTACTTATTTCCCTTTCCTTTCCTTCCCTTCGCCTAGTAGCCCCCAGCAACTCACCAGTATTCCCATTACATCCGTCCACAGTTTGGAGAACGCATCAGACATCATGCTGTCTGGCTGGGGTTCGGGGCAGGCTGCTTGTTCCTCCTCCATGACTAGATGGATTCCCTGCCTCAGTAGAGCTTGATACTGGTTCCCAACAACTTTCTGTCAAAAGGGATGACTCTTCAACACACCACACATCAACAATAAACACTTCCCCAGTCCTTCTGAACAGCTTCACGATGCCTTCTCATCTGATCTCTACCAGCCAAATCACTGCTTCCCAAAAGAAATCTTCAAGGGCAAGGGGGGGGAAAATCTTCTCCAGGTCAGATGCCAGATCCCGCTCAGTCATTAGAGCTTTCCCCTAGGGTTTGTCCTCTCTTAGCTGATGGATCCAGGAGCTGTACACAGCTGACATTCCTTCCAAAACTTTTCTGGTAGAGCTGCAGCAACAGGGTAGCAGAAGGTAAGTCTGCGCCACAGTTTCACCGCGGGGGCTCTCGTAAGCTTAAAAGCAAAGGATTCATTGTAAAATCTTCCTTCTAACAAACAGACAAACATCCATCTAAAAGCGAGTCCCTTAGAGAGTCAGCTTGTCAGGCACCTCAAGCAGAATAGGTGCCTATGGTTTCTTTTCAGCGCTTAGATAACTTTCTAGTACCCCTTTCTTCCAAATGAGCTCTCCCAGCTTCACATGACTGCTCACTCCCCCAGCTAAAGAAAGCTTTTAGCAACAAAAGGTACTCTGATGGCAGGCTCTTTGCATGGAAATGAGCCACAGGCAAGAGAACAAATTGCCTGTTGAAAGAGCAGCCTCTGGCGTGCACAAGTTGCGAGTCACCAAAGCAATTCACTTAAAACATTCTCCGTCACATACAGGAAGGAACCTAAAGCAGTCTTCACACTAGCCCAGCCTTCACAGGACTTCGCGTCCCAGGGATCCCCACCTTTTCCAGGGACGCCAGCCTAACTCCGCCTTTATTGTTTCTGAAAAACAAGCGCTGGAAACTTGGTCCGCCCTGAGGCTGAGCGCGAGAGTTGTTTTATTCGGTGCGGGTGTGTTGGGTGCGGGTTTGCTATTGCGCTCTTCTCTCACGCAGGCACATACACAGCTTGGGAACCATTCGGCATCTGACTAGGCAAACTGATGACTTGAGAGGAACAGTGACTTTTATTTTAAAGTGTAAAAAACTTGTAAAAATTGCAACCTTTAGCTAACATAGGGACACTACCATGTGGATTATGTTATTGCTAAACATTTCCAGCAACAGATATTTTTAGTTAACTATTAGACCCCCGCTATTTTTCTTTTTCAAAAGGGGCGATCTGTCATTGATTAGGTTTTATAAGGCGAGCTTCCCTGAGGGCCAGGTTATGGAAATATTTCCTTGCCTGATGTTTCTTATTTAGTTTTGTTTTTTTCCCATACGACGATGAACTGCAATAACCAACAATTACATATGGTGCTCCCTCTTTTGGGGAAGTGGTTGATTGTACATGCACTTAAATACATTTGTTTGTGAAAGTGTAGTCAATAAAATCATGACAAATTAATTTGACTTTGATAGTACTTCTAGAGAAATAGCTGTCTGAGTGATGGAAGACTCTACACAGGTTATGTGGGGGAGAATTTATAGTATTTTGCTCAGGGTAGAGCAAATCGCAACCCTACAATTCCAAACCCCACCCACAAATTTAGAAGAGCTGGATATTTCTGCTAAAATGATCAGCAGTAATATAGTTTAAATTTAATATGATTGGTCACCATTAGCAGGGCCACCCAGAGGATTCAGGGGGCCTGGGGCAAAGCAATTTTGGGGGGGCCCTTACATAAAAAAAAGTTGCAATACTATCAAATACTATATTCTCTGTGGGGTCTCGGGCAAATTGCCCCACTTGCCCCCCACCTCTGGGCAGCCCTGACCCTTAGGCTTTAAAATTAATAACCACCACCTCAAAAACCTATTGTTTCAAGCTGCCATTAATCTGAAGCCCTGTGCGTAGGGGGTGAAATTATAATCATATTTAGTAGCTGTAATGGCATTGTCAGCATTTTAAGCTCTAGTGTAGATGGGGCACAAGCATCTTCAGTACTATGTCAGCCTGGTTCCCAAGTAGAATGTTGTCCTCCCAATGGCTCAGAGACAGCACCAGAGCTTGGCTGCTGCTTATGCTTTTTTCCCTAGCTACCACCATGAAAATTTACCAGTCTTGTCAGTTTTCACAGTAGTTAGATGGAACCCTTTGGGCAGCCATGAAACTGACAAGAATGAGGTCAATTTCATGCTGCTGCTGCTTGGGAAAACTAGGAGCAAAGATTGACCCTGGAATAATTCAGGGGAGAGCAGGACTCAGAAACTGACACTGGGAGAGGGATAAAGTAGCAGAAGCATGACACACCCACACCCATGCACACAAGCAGAGAATGCTCCTTCTCCCTGCCACACAGCCACTGGATTCCATTTATAACGTTTTTGAGGGGCAGGGACGTCAAATCTACTAAGCACAGGCTGGTTTCAGGAACAAATACCTGGTAGAAATCCCACAACTCTCCCCTTTTCCCGGATGTGAGGGAAGAAGATATTGGCTTCTCTGGCCACTGCCTCTTGACAATATTGGTCTTTTAACTAGTTAGTCCTTGAGCTATTAAATGCCTGAAAAAAATCCCAAGACCAAGGATGGTAGATGAGTGAGTGCACAGCTGAGCAGGACAGAAAAAGGGAGAGAGCGAGATTCACAAAAAAGTAACAAAAGAGAAGCAAGCTACTAAAATAGAGAGAGACAATATTGATGATGAGGTGAAGTTTTTACTGGCACACTTTTAGGATGTCCTAAATATCTCATACATGACTTTTCCCACTCATGAGCAATACAGCAAGGGCAAAACACATGGGGACAGATTTTGAAAGGTAGAGGTGCCTAAAGATGCAGACAAGTGGGATTTCAATGGGAGCTAGGTGTGTAGGCCCTTTTGTAGATCTCACTAGATGTCCATCTGTGTGTTTAGGCACCTAAAGATATTTCATAGTCTGGCCCTTGAAGGTAGAATCTTTACATTTGATATTTTAAATTATATGTAAATATGGACCCTATATACCCGCACACACACACACACACACACACACACACATCTAAAATATGTATGTGAAGTACCGAAAGGTTTTATTGGCACTCGTTTGAGAGGACTTGCACAGCACACAAGTAGTTCCGTTAGTCAGGAGTAATAAGGCCAACAGGGCCATCCAAAATGCATGTATGTTAAACCTTCATACCACAGTCATGCAACCTCAAGCATCCAAAAAATCATGTAGTCAGGCACCCAAACATTTCATGTAAAAATATAATGAATTTCTTTATACAGCTTTAAAAAAAATGTTTAGGGTACACTCATTTCGTCACTACCAAGAGGCCTAGAAATTTTTTTTTAAAAAACAAGACTGAGCTTCTCAATTCATCACTTGACTCCAGGAGCTGGAGCTTTAGGAACATACCAAATATTGTGAGAGTTGGCAACACCATCCGGTATAAGCTTGTCATTAATTTATGGTTTCATCTCAAGACATTCTTACTAAAAGATGCCATGTTCCAAGAGCTGCAATGATAAAGGCATGACAAACTGTCACTCCCCACTCTCAGAGAGCATCTTTCCCCCACACTCAGTCACCCCGGTGGTAATTCTCCTCATTGTCCTTGAGCAGTGAGACCCAGTGGAATTTTGCACCACTTTACAGGGATCAGTTGTTTCAAGAGTAGGGAGTTCTAGGGCAAGCTGAAGCACAGATCTACAGCAGCGAGTCTAGCTGCCTACAATTTGGGTTCTTGATTACAGTTTTTCTGTCATGTTGTATCTTGGGGTAATTGATGTCCAGTTATCTAACATGTAAATGCTAAATAGTTAACCAGCATTGGAACAAAAAGAAAACTGTAGTCTAGACCCTTCCCCTCCCCATCATCTGCATAATCAACCAATAGCTGCAAGATCCCAGAACTCAATTATCTCATCAGCTTCCTGTGTGCCTGCAACGCCCACTGATGTCAGTGGGAGTTGCACACACGCAACTGACAGGACTGTTCAACTTCAGGAGCACTGACTTTTCACAAATCAACAAGAATCCCCCACAACTCCCAATGCAGACCTGACTAGAAGTCAGCCTTGATAACATGCCAGGTGTAGTACTCTATTGTAAGGAAAAAACTCACATGTATGCTCAAACACACATATATATACCTGGGTGCTCAGCAACAGCATATTCACAAACCCTTCAGTCATAAGGCTAAGGGTCAAATTCCTTTTGCACCAGAGAAGTATCTGTCATCTCTCTGTGGTCTCACACCCATTTACTCAATCGCAGTAACAGGCACAAAATTAAACATTCAAAGTTTAATTATATGCAAAAATATTTCAAAACAATTTTCTTTATTTTTAAAAATTTTTAATTTAAACAATATTGAGTATACTTTTGGCTTCAGGATCATTTAGCAGTTTCTCCGTACTAACTGCTTTAGTTACAGGATCCTGATACTACCCGCCAGTGCAAAGTATACTCTGCTGAGCATCCTAAAAGGCCTATATCTGAAGGCAGGATTGAATCCTAGATGCACAGAGTGGATGGTGTAAATTAATGCAAGGCAGTATATTGGGATCAATTTGTGTCTCACTAATTTTCCACAGACACAACTCTATTGATTTCAAAGGAGTAACTCCAGATTTATGCAGATACAAGTGGCAGGAGAGAGTCAGGCCCATTATGATAAGCTATTTTCACATCACACAATTATATATATATTTTTAAAGCATATGATTCAAAAGCACCATTCGCCAATTAGATGATTCCATCAGGTCTTGCCCATTTTATAAATCAGACCATCCAACAATACTGGTTTTCTTTCAAAATATATTTAATTCAGGCCACATACTCTGCTAAACTTATGCACTGCTGTAGAGATCAGAATTCACTAACTGTTTCAGAGGTTTAGCTGTCAGCTTCAACTATTATTGCTAATTTTATGATTATCGCTAGAGCAGCAGACTAATGCCCTCAACAGAAACCAAAAGGGGTTCGAGTTGTACAATTCAATTAGTGGAAAGCAGTTATGGAGATTGTTTTATTTTATTAAAGGCTGAAAGCTCCACATTAAACAATATCCATTATTTTCTCAGTTATCTGAATCTCACCAGACTAAAGAATAAAAACAAGTGACAGAGAAATGCCCCTGAAAATTACTCTAGTAATCTTTCAACAGTTAGGATTAGTGCTACATAACGACCATCAATTTAAAACACTGCCAAGGCTGGGGGTCTAAGGCTTTGGTTAGGAGAGGCAAAATACGGTGACCCTCACTTTGTAGGACTCATCGTAGAAGGAAAAGAAATCTAAACATGGCTGTAATAGTCACTGTGAGCTTTTCTGGAAAGATACTTGTTGAGTCATAAGGAAAAAGGAAAGGATCATATCCTCTTTTCCTGCACGCAGATGTATTCAGAAATTGTCTCATGTCCTGTCCAGTCCCCCCACCCCACCCCACCCCACCCCACAATTAGGGCTGTAAAGTCTCTTTCAGTGCAGATACTGACTTGGTGATCTCCAGCATGAGGGGCACAAGTCAGTCTTATAATCATACTTTCGTTTCCTCACATCATTGAATTTCTTGTCCGGCATCACACTTTTCCAGTCTTATGGGACAACTAACCT